ATGGAATCCTGTCTGTGTTTCCTGTCTGATTTCAGGAAAGCCCAGTCAGGATAACCACACTGCTCCAGGGCCTGTCTCTTGGAGAAGAGACGAAACGTTTCATTAGAGAAGAACCCGTCCAGAAGACCTATACAATTTTTTTCTTTTTGATTTTTTACCTGGATTACTGAGATGCATCAGGATATTTTATCTGTTGCATCCCTCAGTTTGTGTGATGTGATCCGTGAGGTCAGTTTAAACATTACAATCATCAAAATATGACTAAACTGAATGCTAAGTACTACATTTAGAGCTAATGTTTTCAAATCTGGAGAACACATAGTTGACTAGAGCTGCAAGAATAAATGTCCACAGTGTAATGACACATGAGATACTTTGATTTACAATGATATGACGTTTTCTTATTTCTAAAATTACAAATAACTAGAAGTGCTATTCAAAAAATACGATGTTGTGTAGTATGGAAAAAAAACAAACAAATAGGGACAATTTGTAAATGTCATAAGCCCATATTTTATTCACAGTAGAGCTTATCTAAAATGTTTAAAGTAAGAAACTGTACAATATTTGGTAAAAACAGAAAAACAATATGATATGATTTTAAATTTGACAATTTTCACATCTACAAAGATGGATATTGGTAAAAAATGTGAAAGTTAGTGATACAAATAGAAAACAGCAGAAGGAACATTATGCAACTGATCAGGTTAATTAGCAACAAGTCAGTAAGAAGACTGGGTATACAAAATGCATTTAGAAAGACTGACTTTCTGTCTAAAGCAGTGCAACAATTTCAGAATGTTTCTTAACAGGAAAATTAGGCAGACTTTGTGCTAACATGTTCAGTTCACATATCATCAAAACCATAGACAAAAAAATCAATATTAGAAGCCTGTGATCTTCGGGCACTCAGAGGACACTTCATTAAAAAAGGTCTTATAGGCCCAGGATCCACTAATAATTGTCTGTGAACACAATTTACTAGGTCATCCACAATACTGATTAAAGTTCTATCACACAAAGAAAAAGCCATATGAGAACACCAAAAACAACACTGCCTTCTCTGGATTCAAATTTTCTTTATGTTCTGATGCAAAGTGGAAAACTGTTCTGTGGTCAGCGGGATCAAACTTTGATCCCCTTTTTTAAGCAGGGTGTGTGTGTGTGTGGGGTGGGGTGGCATTAATGCAAGATCCTGTGCAGTTAAGAGTAGAGTGATCATACAGCCTGTTATCAGTGCTCCGTTCAAAAGCCTGCCTCTCTGATGGTATGGGGATGCATTTGTGTCTATGACATGGGCAGCTTATATACTGTATCTGGCCTATAGACCTCTCAACAATAAAACAACCAAAACACACTTGGTACATGAACAAAAATAACACAGTAAGGATGACCCAGGACCGTAATAGAATCAGAAACTAATCAAAAACATTCCCCTCCAAAAACTGCTCTCTTCAGCTTCTTGACATTTACAGACTATTGTTAAAAGAAAATATGCTTCATGGTGGTAAACATGGCTCATGTTTACCACCATATTAACGTATTTGAGATGTGCTGCTGGCATAAAATTCGAAATAAGTTTATTTGTTCTAAAAAAATGGTTCTTTTTTTGCACGGCATGTTTACTATGGTTTTTTTAAACATATATTTATTGATTTTAACAAAAAAAAAAGACAGATACATATATTCACTCATACATACTT